TTTCGACTGAGCAGACGCGTCGGGCTCGCGCTCTTCAGTGCACTGAAACTTTCCGGATGCATCCGTATGAGCTGAACACACCTGAACCCGCGGACAAAGGCGTGATGACCTACGGTTGGCTGGATTCGATGGTGCAAGAGAAGCTACGGACGGAGTGGCTGGACTTGTGCTGGCTTTCACTCATCCCCGAAATGTACGGGGTCAACATTGCGGTTTGGGAGCCTACCAGGAGAGGGCAGTTGGTGCAGCTGTACAAGAATAACATGTGGGGCCTTTCTGTTTGACAAAAAACACTAGCACGACGAAGAGGGGCATAAGTGGGTGCACCTGTTATACCGCAGCGGGAGTAGTTGGGAAGCGAGAACCGAAGTTGGGGGTGACGAAAATACGGTGTCTCGCCACAACCACTTCGACTTTCTAGAGCTCGGTGCCGATTTTGAAGCTGAGTTCGACGCTATCATCTCCGTCGCCCGGTTTGGAGGAGAGGGCGACGGCGACACTTCGCTGCCGTCACCTGTGCCGGTGAAAAGAAGGAGGGCGGCGGGGAGTGCGGAGACGACGTTGAAGCGGAAACGCACGAGCACGAAGAAGTCGCAGCTGGAAGATGACGACGGGCCGCTGGCGCAATCGAAGCGCAAGCGGACGGCGAAGAGCGATGGGGGTAGCAAGAAAAAACAAGGGCCAAGCGGAGAAAGCAAGGGGAAGTCAGGGGGAGGTGGCGCGGCCGGCAGCACGGGGGGGGGGCAACTACGACTCCGATGGGAGCATTGGCGGCGAGGGCACGGACTGGACTTGTCTCGGATGCAGAGGCGCGCTCCCTTCTCTCACAAGGAGTCAACAGTTGCTGCGGCGCAAGCTGAACAAGATCCCTGAACCAGCGTACAAGGCGGCGTTCAAACGTACGAGCATCATGAAAGCGAAGGCCGAAAAGGTGTGTTCTGTGTCCCGCGTTCCTCTTGTGATCGTGTGTGATTGCGCATCCGTTAGGGCGTGCTTGTAGGAGTGTGTGCCTTTTGTCTTGTGTCGGCGACTGATGTGTCGTGTTATGTTCCGTACCGGGTTGAACCTCTGGTTGACGTGCTTTGTTTGGGGCAGTGACACATAATTGCAATGGCCTCTTGTGATCTATTCTTTGTTTCCGCGGGTCTTTTGCTACGGTGTTGTGCAATGCAACTCATTTTCTCGTATCACGTACAACGCCCCTTCGTCGTTGGTTGTACGCAATGGTTCCGTCGTGGTCGACGCCGTTGTACTGTCGCTTGTCCACGACGGTTGTCAGGAATACTTGCTGCTGTGCATTGTTCAGTCCGAAAACGTGTGGCCTACTTCCACGGCCCCGCCTCACGCCCGTAGTGATAAGCTTATGGTTGTTTTTCGCGCGTGTGTCCGCATTTTCACCAAATGTTCTTTATTTGTCCCAACCATCGTTATTCACGTTTGTTTGTTCGCTGGACATGTTGAACGCAGCTCCAATATGAACGGCAGAAGAAGAAGGAAGCCACCAACCCCAGGCGGAAGAAAAAGTCCAAGTCCAGGAAGTCGCCACCCCCAGAGCTGGAGGAGGAGAGTGGTGACAAGGAGGTGGTGTGGACGGAAAGGGGGATGGAGGACTACGAAACGTCCGACCACTTCACGAGGCGCAACAAGATGTCAAAAGACATCGGGCGTGGAGTTTCGTTGTCGGCAGAGGCTCGCGCCGCGCTGCCATCGTTGGACAACTTCATGTCGCACCAGAACCCTACCAGCGGGGAGTTTTCGCTTGACCTCGTCTTGGAGAAGTGCTTGGACCTCACCTTCCCGCAAAAGGCGCGAAAGTTGTTTTGGATAAGGTATGTTAATTATGTTTTGTCTTGTTGCGACACGCACCGCTTTGCTTTCATGTGTCCCGTGGTGCGCGTGTGTGCGGAGTATTGAAACAGGAATTTCCAGTGCTTGCAATGGTGAAACCGAATATGTACGATGAAGGTGCATAAACAACCCGAGACCTACCGCCCGCACTCTCTTCGGTACCCATCCACCCCGCACAAAGTCGCTGCCCCCCTGCTGCCGTGCGCCCAATAGCTCTGCCACGATTCTGAAATAGCCTTGCACACGGCTTTGACTCGAAACCTGCCTCGAAACCCGCCCCCATCTAACCTCCGTGTCTCTCTCCCCCACCCCGCCCCCGCTCCTCCGTTATTTTGTGGGCAGACGAACGCCTACGTCAAGCACTGCACGACGGCGCCGCCGCCCGGGGAGGAGGACAAGCGGAAGCCACACCAGATGAAGAAGTCTGCCACGCTCGGTCGCGTCACGCTCGGGGAGCGGTCCGAGGAGCGCAACACCTACGGCATGTTCGAGGAGCAGCACATCGACGGCATGATCGGCATTTTCATCACCATGGGCCTCACGAAGAAAGTCCGGATGCGAAAGCACTGGAGCCGGTCCGCCCACGACAACTACCCGCTGGTCCAGAAGTGCATGCCGCGCGACGTGTTCGAGCTCTTGTACTGCTGCTTCCTTCACTGCTCCGACCCCAACGCTCCGGAGCGACTGCTACCCGATGGCGAAGAAAACCCAGATGACGACTCCAAGTGGCATATCAGGTGTGTTCGTTTTCAATCTGTGTGTCCTGTTGAAAACCTGGGGTGTCGATTTCGTTTAGGTCTCGTCGTTTCGGTTTTGTTGCAGTTGGGATGGTGGGGGCGGGACAGACGTGGGTCGAAGGGTACCGAAGCCCCCCGGAAAGTCGAAGATTCTCCCCCGTCTACGGCGCCGCCATTTCATGGGCGGGCCGTATGGTTTGTTTTTGGTTTGCTGGCAGTGAAGTTTGGCACATGCTCGCTCTACGAGTAGAGGTTTCTCCCGTCGAGTACATCACCCGACACTCAATTTTGTCTTGTAGTCGTCCTGGTACAGTAGATAGAAATGACAAATGACGAGCGTGTTCCTGCCGGTAACGGCCCACCTTTAAAGTGCTGTGTTTCTGGTGCTCTTCCCTGTCTGGCAGGGAGCTAGAAGAGATCCTCAACACTGCATGGGCGGCGAACGTCGAGTGTGACAATTGGTTGTCGTACGACGAGCAAATGATCAAGACTGTTTCGAAGTACTCGAGCAAGGTTTCTTTCTACTGCCCGGCGAACCCCATCAAGCACGGTGAGCATGCGCACGCATTTGAAAGCTTGTATCACGAAAGGGGTCTCCGAGAGTAGTTTGACCGTGGTACACGTGAACAATCCGATGTGTTTCTTGTCAAAAGTAGAGAGAGGTAGGGGTTGAGGGGGGCCGTCGAGTTGGGTGGTGGCACTTATCCACGCCCCGGTGCGGCGTTTTCCCGCTTCTTCCACAACGCCATTTCTTCTTCTGTACATCAGTGATCGCAGACTCCGGAAATCATTGATACGCCTTGGTGTCAACAGCTGCTGGTTCCAACATTAGTCTTACCACAGCTGGTCCCTTCGGCCTCCCTGTCGGCGGACGTTCGTCCGTTTTTTACTTTATGTGTGCCGGCATGAAGCTACTAGCGGCGTGCGATATCACGAGCTACTGCTTAACCAGCAGCGTGGATGGCGGCATGAAAGGTGACCCCAAGCGTCGCCCTTAGATGGACTGCCTGCTCGACCGGACTACTCGCCACGTGCTTCACGTTCTGTTGGGGGAGTGCGGCGTGTTGAGGCAGAAGATCGATGGCTCGGGGGTATTCATCGCCATGGACAACTACTTCACCTCCCCCACTCTGTTCGAGTGCCTCGCCTCCCACGACATCTTCGCTGTAGGTACCTGCCGCGCCGATCGGACTGCCGGCGCTGATGCGTACCTCGAGAGCCTCGGGCGTACCATTCCTAACCGCGGCGACATGAACTTCTGCCGTTCGGGGCAAGTGGCGTACGTGCAGTGGGCTGACTCCAAGGATATCTTCATCAGCACCATCCACGTCGCGCAACCGGCCAAGGGAAAGGGTGGAGGCAGGTGGAATCGACCACTTCAAGCCTTTGCCTCTATCGTGAGTCTCAACATTAGTCTTACCACAGCTGGTCCCTTCGGCCTCCCTGTCGGCGGACGTTCGTCCGTTTTTTACTTTATGTGTGCCAGCATGAAGCTACTAGCGGCGTGCGATATCACGAGCTACTGCTTAACCAGCAGCGTGGATGGCGGCATGAAAGGTGACCCCAAGCTTCGCCCTTACATGGACTGCCCGCTCGGCCGGACTACTCGCCACGTGCTTCACGTTCTGTTGGGGGAGTGCGGCGTGTTGAGGCAGAAGATCGATGGCTCGGGGGTATTCATCGCCATGGACAACTACTTCACCTCCCCCACTCTGTTCGAGTGCCTCGCCTCCCACGACATCTTCGCTGTAGGTACCTGCCGCGCCGATCGGACTGCCGGCGCTGATGCGTACCTCGAGAGCCTCGGGCGTACCATTCCTAACCGCGGCGACATGAACTTCTGCCGTTCGGGGCAAGTGGCGTGCGTGCAGTGGGCTGACTCCAAGGATATCTTCCTCATCAGCACCATCCACGTCGCGCAACCGGCCAAGGGAAAGGAGGAGGCAGGTGGAATCGACCACTTCAAGCCTTTGCCTCTATCGTGAGTCTGACTAGTGTTCTTCTTGACTTTTTTCTGGTTAGCATGTTGTCTACGCTGGTATTGTCTGGACGCACGAGCACGAGTGCATCCGCGGGGGGTGCGGGGTAGGGGGGAACGGGGTGCGTTTGAGAGACTCAGTACATTCGCAGCCGGAGTCGGATACTGTGTCGTGCTACCTCTGTTGACGGTGGTCGTCCTTGTGCTCAAGCCTGTGCCCCACATCCATGCACCCCTTTTGCTCGCCAGCCTAAGCCTGTTCGTCCCTCTTTCCACACGCAGCCCCCTCGCAACTATACCCTGCGCGTCTTCTGTTGTGCAGACTGAGAGCGAAGGGCCGCAACGGGGAACCTCTGGATTTGCAGCAGCCTTACATGCGTATGGATTACGTTCTGAACATGTTGGGGGTGGATTTGGCCGACCAACAGAACGGGTCTCACACGCACGACCACAAGTCCTACACGAACTTCTGGCGCCGTGTGTATGACGCAAAGTTGGAGCAGGCGCTGACCAACGCGTTTCTGATTTTTCGCAAGTGGGTAGAACTTTTGATCAGAGAGGTAGAGGCCAAGAAGCCCATTGCACCAGGGGGTGAGTTGGAAGAGTTGGAGCTTGCGTCGACGGAGTTGGCGACACTGTCGAAGGTAGAGCGGGCTGTGTGGGATGAACAGATGGCAACGCTCCTTATGGCGGAGTGTAACGTCGCGAGGCCCAACAAGGGCGGGAAGCGTCCGGCCTCGGACAACAAGCCGGCCGACCCCGTGTGGGGTAGCGTCACCCTCAAGAGTGGACGCCTGTGCTTGAACCCTACTTGCAAGACGACGTCGATGAAAGGGTGCTCGTGCAAGCAATTTTGCACATGGGGGGATAAGGCTGGGGTTTTGATGTGTGAAACATGTTGGAAGAGCCCGGAGTCTCACGAGCAGGCGGCGAAGGCTTACTGGGATAGTGTGTCTGAGGGCCGCAACAGAACAGGGTTCGAATGGCAGAGGGGTTCAGTTGAGACTGCTGGTTGAGGCGCACCTGTGATTAGCACTTGTGTTGCGTTTTGTTCTTGGGGGCC